CCATGTGGCAGTCCAGCTCCTTACCACCATGCCACCTGCTGGCCCCTTGGACTTAATATTTACTTTGATTTATGAGAATTCAAATCAGTACATTTGCCAAAAGTGCATGTATTATTGAGTCTGTTCCACATCCTAAACCAAGACTTACATAAAACTGTGAAATACCACACATTACGACCTTTCACCACAGGAAGGAAAAAAAGGCTTCATAATATCATTCTACACACACACACACCCCCTCCCAGTTTCAGTAACTATTTGCTGTCTAATCTTCACCAATACCCAGTCTAGTGTACTTTTTAAGAGAAGTGAGTGAAGGGCAGTAAACAGTTCCTGGACTATGATTTATTTTAAAGCACTGGCGCACTCTGCACTCTGTCTGCGGAGAAGACAGAATCTGCCACTGCAAGCTTATTGTCATCCAAGGACTACTTCTGCCACTCGCCATTTGCAAGGTGGGGGGAAGAGGGGCGGGGGAAGAGGCAGGATAAGGACTCAACTTTCATCTATAAACAGGGGTCACTAAACAGGGGACATTTCATTATTGCCCTTAAATTCACAGGAGCTCAGAAGCTTGCTTGCCACACTGCGGGATGGCCTTAGCTGGGCAGCTCCTGAGTCTGTGAGGTGGTGGGAGGAGGGAGAATGGAGGAGAGAGAATGAACACACTCTGGCCTAGAGGCTGGAAAAGATGTCCAGGAAATTATCTGTGCTCGTGGTGGGAAAATTCAGCTCCTGCAGATCCAAGGATGTTAGGTATCCTTGACCGCGAGGTCCCCACAAGGAACCAGAACTGAACTCCAGAAGTCTCCATTAGGGCAGGATTCATTCTCCCGAAAGGAATAGCTTATACCCCAAAGAACTTTGCACCTGGAAACCGTGCCCCAGGACCTTTTACTCTCTATCGCTCTGATCCTCCGATTCCCTCTCTCTGTGGTTCTCCCATATTTTAAGAGACTGACTTTGCTCTTTCAGGTGTATCAATGACATGCAGCCAAAGAGACAGTAGGACTGGTTCTTATGGGGGGGTGTTAATTAATAAAAGTTAATGATGGGATTAAAACCAATGGCCAACCAAACCAACTGAAGAAGACAGCTTCTCAGCCAGCTATATTTAATTAGTGGCAATTAATACATTTTCTGCTAATACCCTCTAGGACTCTTGATGACTTGTTCGCAGTGAAAGAGAATGGAGATGCAGCGCAGGAACACTTACAAGCACCTGGGGCGTTTTTTTGCTCTAATGACAAGAGAGATTGCAAACTCGTTTAAGAAAATGTTCATAAACAAGTGACAGGCACTCTGAGCCTGTCTTCCTGGAAACAATAGTGAAGCTGACAGATATTCTTTGATTTGGGGGAGGGGCACTTTTTCTTTTTTTTTTTTTTTTTCCTTAAAGCAGGGAAATGCTTTTGGAGGGAAAAAAAAAAGACAGGAGGTTAAAAAGAAAGAAAGAAAAAAAAAAGGAAAGAAAACATATTTCAGGCTCCAGACAGCGGCAGACGCAGCAGCCCTTGCAAACACATCAGCCCTGCACTATTGAAGACTGGGACACGTAATGCTTCAGACCACTGATTTGCTATTTTCTTAATTCCCGCTCTTCTTTTTCCATATGAATCAAACAGTCTTTTGTCCTTCAGGGTTTGATTTGATCGCTACTGTTCACATTTCACTTTTGTATTTTCCTCTTCCTATACCATTACTCATTGAGTGCCCCGTGAAATTACAATCGTACATTTTCAACTCAGCAACCCATTTGCAGTGCAAAAATAGGGTCTAAATAATGGCTGAATTAGCCCTACTGGACAGTTTCAGATGTAACACTCTGTAATAATTATATTGCAGGCTGGATTAGGATGCTATTATCATAATCTGGACGTTTACAATTATCTGTAATTTGCAAAGATGCGCCAGGTCTTGATTACAGCAGTTTTTTTTTTTTTTTTTTTTTGTATCACGCTAACCATCACTAAACAGTGACAGTAATAACAGCTAATTTTGCTGGCAATATAAGAGGTGCTGGGGTGTGCAAACAATTTCACACCTGGATGTGCTCACTCAACCAAGAATATAGAGAAAGAGCTTCTGCCCTGAGACTCAGAAAAATATTCTCCTCTGCTTCGGTTCAGTATAGATTTCTAGACCCTGATCATTGCCTAAGAGACACTCACTGGGGGTAAGTTTTTATTTCTTGCATACTTCAAGGCACAGCTCATATTTCTCTTCTCACGTTTTCCAAGCGGTATATGTGACTGTTGGAATTTATCATGGACTACAACTTTGCTTTATAGATTTTCAGTTCTGACCTTCTAGCCCCCCATAAGTAAGAGGATTGTTGCTCTGGTGAGTAAAAGGATATATGGGTGAGACTGGGATCCTTTGGAACTTGATTTGTCTTTGCTTTCTGTGCTGTCGATGCTCTGGAAACAGCTTGTGACTGGAGACTGAGAAAAAGACCAGGTTCATGTAAGGTGTGGAAGGCTGCCGGTAGAGATTCCAAGCTAAAAATCTATTTGAAAATGGTTACAGTTAACCCTAGGTGAATCAGTAGAGGTGTTTACATGTGGCCATTTTAGGTTTTGAGGTATCAAGAGATCAGACCGAGCTCGTGACCCGGCTCCTTTAGAATTACGGTATGCGGACATTTGCGAAGGCAGGTGTTACCTGAATCTCTAGACCGTGCGCTCCTTAGACATCTTTCCTCCACTTGGGGGAAAGTTTCCTGAATAATTGGCTTCTAAAACCCTGCTTTTCAGGGTTTGCCTCAAGGTGATGGGGCGGAAAAAGTGGGGGAAGGGTATGTGGATTATGGCCCACCAAGACTCAACGCAGCGACCTTGGGGTTGGAGGGGCATGATTGGCTGATACACAGAACCGAACTCAAGAGCCAAAGAATCAGTCGGGTGTAGGAATCCACCAAGGAACCCTCAGGCAAGAAACGGTGCTGTTCTGTCTAGGGATGATGCTGTTTGCTGACCCTGTTAGCAGGTAGAGGTGTTAAGTGCAGGAGCCTGAGAAATCTTTGGCTTCCTCGCCCCGGTGCAGAAAGGTCTTTCTCCAATGTCAGGAGCCTTTGGACTACGTCGTGTCAAAAGATAATGAGATGCTTATTGGCACCGAGGAGACACCGTCCCCTTCACCCTTACACCCACCCCACCCTTCAGCTAATGTTATCTCCCCCTTCCCCCACCTCTTTAAAATGGGATATAAGGTCAGGACCAGGCTCTAGAACCCGAACTCTGCAAGGTCTGTAGAAGTTCAAATGTAGGGAGGTGTAGCACGCACAGTGACTGGGTGATGCCTTTCTCCTACGCCCCTCCTACCAATCCCTCCCTCGGGGAATTGGTTTACTATGGGGTCAATACGTTCTAAAGAGAGAAAATATTAACCCTTGAAGTTCAGAGGGTCCAAAGGAAACCCAGTTCCAAGGACAGTTTTGGGGAAACTACTTGGCAGAATGTGTTTAATTAAACTGATGTTAAGAAAATTTTAAAAAATGATACCGATTCACCATGACGACACCTCCAATATATTCACATGCACTTACTGGGTTTCAGAATTCCATGAACTCACAGTGGTTTGGCGTGTATCTGGTGATTTTTTTTTTAAGGAAAAATTAGTGTTGGTTTCGATGTATGGTAGCTTTCTATCTAACGTAATTTGAATAATTCAGCAAAGCCCCACTACCAGCTGTACTTCTGCAGCCTCTTCCATTCTTTGCAGCATTATAATTTTGGTTAATTTTCAATTTTAGGTCCTACGTCTCTGCAATTTGTGTATGAATAACAGAATAATTTCCCTCTTTTGTTTCGCCTTTCCTGTTCCTGAATCTAAATAAAGATGGCTTTTTAGTATTAAAAGTGGAAGAAAATTACAGGTAATTATCTTTGACGGTAAAAACGCTGTAATCAGCGGGCTACATGAAAAATTACTCTAATTATGGCTGCATTTAAGAGAATGGAAAAAAACCTTCTTGTGGATAAAAACCTTAAATTGTCCCCAATGTCTGCTTCAAATTGGATGGCACTGCAGCTGGAGGCTTTGTTCAGAATTGATCCTGGGGAGCTACGAACCCAAAGTTTCACAGTAGGAAGGGGGAAAAAAGAAAAGAAAACATTTTTCCTAATGTAACAATGCGAATGCTAGAAAATGACAAGACTGATCGGTTTTAAACCATTCTGAAGACTGACTGAGCGTGGAAGTTGCTCAACAAAAAAAGGAACGGGTATATTGGTAAGTAGTCTTTGCTTTGTGTCTAATTATAGTGACTGTCCTTTTGCACGACTGTATGTCGCTGTCATTATATGGAGCACTCTGAGTATCTCTATTGACTTCTGATAAATGGCTCAGTGGTTTCAAGGTTCATAATTTGAAGGATGCCCAGGTCTGTAGCCATTAATTCTCGCAGTATGGGGCTTCCTGCTTGTATGACGAAAGGACTTTTCATTTTCATTATTTCTGTGCTTTCCACAAGATCGGAAGGATGTATTTCATCTAGGATAGTGCATTTTCCTACCTAGCTAGCTTGCAATGGGTTTTAAACATTAAGTAGGCATAATTGTGCACTTCACTTTTTTCTTTTACTCTTTTTCCTTTTTTGTTTAAAAAAAAAAAAACTGCTTCCAAACAAAGACAAATACAACTGTATCATTTTAGCTGGGAAAAGGGAAAGAATACGAGATTCAGCACCAGAAACTACTGGATGTCTAAAGGCTAGCTTGGAGATTGGTCATTATAGTATTTTTTAAAATAGATAAATGTGTAGAAATTACAATAAAAATATGTCAAAGAAGCCGAGGAAACACCTGTGATTAATGTTAAAATATTTAAGACAAAGGCTAGTGGTGCAACTGGCAACTGTGCAGGCACTTGATGTTTATATATAGGGCTTCCCATATTAGGAAATAGGAATTCTTTTAAGAGTGATAGAAAATATAATGGGAGGGAGGAGATGGGAGGGGGGAAAGACAGAGACAGAAATTTACAGGACGCTCCCAGCATTTTGTGGCTTTTACTCCATATATGAAAGAAGACAAAAACATACAAAGTATATGTACAACTAAAATTCAACAATATATACAGAAATGTTTCTTGATATAAACGTCCCTATTAGCTTAGTGAATGCCACCAATTCACCTGATAAAGGTGTCAAAGCAATAGTATGGTGATTTGAGTTGTTTCCTCAGTCTTTTCTGATTCCAGTTCAGAGTTTGGGGGCAGGGTGAAAAAAGACCATTTGTTGTGTTTTGTTTTAAATCAATCATCATTTCTGGTCATTGCATTTTGATAAAACATGCAGCGTTCCTTTTGTGGCAACAGTCTAATCTTACAGCCGATTTTTTCTTCTTTCTTAAGAGAAGGCTAAGTGAGGGCTTTTTCTTTTCTTTTCTTTTCTTTTTTATTAGTGGGATTGGTAAATAAAAATACAGGAGTCCGAAATGCTTCTCTTTCACCATGTAATGTTTTAAGCTCATTAAACAAGTAAAAACGCTGCCATGTTTGTGCAGATTCTTCTGGTGGTGGTGGAGGGGGTATCTGTAAAAAAAAGTCATTTTGATGGATACTCCCAAAGTGAAGAAGAGGCTCAGAGCCTGGATTCCAAAGGGTAAGGGACATATCCTTACAGTGAGGGGGTTCAAGAGTGCTGGCATGGAAACCAGTCCCCCCCACCCGTTCTCTCTCTCTGAGAAGATGCAAGATCAGCTACTGATGTTGCTCAAAGGAAAAAAGGCAGATGGGGAAAGAAAAAGAGGGGGGGAAGAAAGGTAGAAATAAAAAGGCAGGAAAGAAAGGAGGAAGGAAGAAGGAAGGAGATGGAGGGATAAAAAGAAAGAAAAGAGAAAAGACAGAGAGAGAGAGAGAACATGAGAGAACAAGCGCCCAGCCGGCTTCTTGCCACACATACGAGTTCTCCAGAGCCTGCTCCTTCGGCTCCTTTGGCAGATGCAAGCAGGTCCTGGATCCTCCTTGCCTTGTTCAGACGTTTCCCTAGGGTGTTCCCTCGAACAACTCACATCATCTGTGGTCTCTGCATCGTGTCCTGGTGTGGAGAGGAGTACCAGTGAGAATAGCCAGGCATGTAGCTGTTGGGGGGCATACTGACGCCCTTGGCCGAGGCAGAAACGTCCCACACTGGAGGAAGCGCTGGCGAGCGAGGCGACAGGGCCGCCGAGCCCGGGAGGGGGTCGCTCTCATGAGGGTTACTGCCCTGCTTCAGCAGTTTCTTAAACTTAGAGCGTTTGTTCTGAAACCATATCTTCACCTGCAAGAAATGCAGCAATCATTAGGCCCGATAAACATCGAACCACTGCCTCTAAAGTCACTTGAGGCTTCGGAAACAATATTCAAAAGGAAAGGGGAGGAGGGAGAAAAAGAAAAGAAAAACATCACAGATGCTAACAGGCCAAGTCCCTGCCTTCCTCCACCTCTTTCTAGCCTCTTCCACTCCCCTTTCCCCCAACCTATTAGGTATCTCATCTGGATATGTAGGGTCATTGTAATTCTTGAGTTGGATGCTAGCTTAGGTTTAAAACAACAGTATAAGTAAAAATAAAATCAAAAAGAAAATGAATGTGATAACCAGGTCCAAAGTGTAAATGAGATTTTTTTTTTCTTAAAGGGGCTCTTTCAGATTCAAGCCAGTTGAATGCATCTCCTCTGATAGCCTGTTTTTATATTTACCAACCCCCAAAGCAGGCATCACTATGTTTATATTGTGTGCAAATGACTATGAATATATTAAAGCCTATACATTTATAACCAAATGCCTTGAATATATCTATGCATATATTCCACATGCCATAGATATGCATGGAACCTCTTTTTTCAGACATAAACATATCCTCATAATCCTGTAGAGATTAGGACTGCACCTCCACTCCCTACTTTGTATACTGTTGAGTCAAATTGTGGTCAATAATCATCCCATGAGTGTTAGTACTAAAAGTCAAAGGGCTTCTGAAAATTAAATGTGAATCAGGAACCTGAGATGGAAGCATAACTAGGCCAACAACATTCTAGGTCTACTTTTTTTAAGAGAGAAATGCTATGGTGCAGTTTACTTTATCTTTAAAATTCCTTAGATGGAGGAGTTTGCTTTTCCAAGAGGAATACAAGTCATTGAGGAGCTGGAATCCCTTTATGTCAAACCCCTAAATATTTTCAATGGCACTTTGGCAAGAGAAAACAAGCTAAATAAAAAAGAAGAGGTTGAGGAACTCGGCCTTAAGGGACCACACAAGCAGTACCCAGCAATAGTCCCACAGAACCTGGCATCCCCTTGCAGAAGATCACCTACCTACAACCCCATGCAGCTACTGACAAAGACAAAAACTGCAGGTGATTGCAGCCTGGCTTTATGATCTGGGGTCCTAAAAGATGACCTAAACCCTGTTCTGTGGAATCCAAAATGCCCATATGTCTTTCAAATTAGTAGGACAGGAGAACTTCAGCAACTGTACTTAACTGTGGCATCATCTGCTATTATTTGGGGAGCATTTCTCTTTGATCTCCAACTCTGCCATTGCCCCCCAAGTCCCCTGTGCTTCAGAGAGGTACCTCAGCCTGCACTGGTCAGTCATCCAGGATGATTTAAACATTGAGTTTAGGGCAATCTTCAGAAAAGCACCCCACTCATCCTAGGATGAATAGTTTACATATTGGTGCCTTTACTAAACCCTTTTGGAGCCTATGCCTCGCCCTCCTTCCTCTATTCCATTTTCTAATTTTCCTGTGTCAATGAATTGAAATCCTTATTAGCTTCCAGGGCCCACAAAAGAATCCTTAAGAACGATAGGCCTTTCTCTGCCTCCTGGCCTATACACCTTTTCCTTCTACAAGTTTGTTGTCTTTCCTGTTTTGCTCTGGAAAAAGATTCAATTGTTATGAGTTTGGTCCCCAAAGGATGCTAGGCTGGGGTGGGGTTGCCAAGGGTTGGGAGGATGTGCAAATCCAATCCAGTACGGAATACCAAGTCACTTATTCCAATCTGTGTTGTCCTGGGAACGTGCGTAATTGGAGCAAAGGCATTTGTCATTAAGCTCCTTCCATCCTTGGTGGACTAGGCCAAGAATTCCTCCTGATGTGTTCCCTGCCCGATCTGCAAGTGGGGCCAGCATTTCGGGGATACTCGGCTTCTCCGGAATTACCTGTGTTTGTGTCAGTCCTAAGGAAGCTGCCAGTTCAGCTCTCTCAGGAAGGGCCAGGTACTGAGTCTGCTGAAAGCGGTGATTTAAAGCCTGGAGCTGCAGGCTAGAATAAATGGTCCGAGGCTTCCGAATCTTTTTCCCTTTTCCATTGAACCTGATTTCCCCGTTTTCAATCACTGTAGTTTTTTGTTGATCTGCAAGCAAATGACATAGAGAGAAGTGGTCACCCATGAGGCCACTACCGCTGGCTCCCTGGTCATGGCCTGGCCTGCACTGAGTCTCCCCAAAGCCCAGTAAGGGCTTCCTCAAAGCGTCCCCACGTCGCCCTGACCCCTAGGTCCACGATGCTGTGTTTTCTCCCGTAGCCGTCCTAGCTTCTCCCTGATCCTGTCTCTGGCCCTCATAAAACGCAGTGGTAGACCCTGGGAGGTCCCTGGGCCCTCTGCCCTCGGGCATTTAGTCCTGAGTCGCAGCAGAGGCGCCGCAGGCGGGAGGCGGCTCTCCCCACGTCGCCCTGACCCCTAGGTCCACGATGCTGTGTTTTCTCCCGTAGCCGTCCTAGCTTCTCCCTGATCCTGTCTCTGGCCCTCATAAAACGCAGTGGTAGACCCTGGGAGGTCCCTGGGCCCTCTGCCCTCGGGCATTTAGTCCGGCTGCTGAGTCGCAGCAGAGGCGCCGCAGGCGGCAGGCGGCTCTCCCGCGCGCAGCGCTGCGAGGTGTCTGTTCTCAGGGCCAAGCTGGGCCCTAAGGCCTGGCTTTACTGTGCCTGAAGCTGTGCTTGAGCCGCTCGGGTGTGTATGCGGCCAGTTAACGATGCCACCATCTCCTAGCCCGGTGCATCAAGCCCACTCGGACAGTTCGAAATGATCCTGCTGAGAGGGGCCAAAACCCCACATAGAACACAAGCAGCCGCTCAGATCAGCCTTCCAGAAGGTTGCGTCTCTCACGGCAAATATGTCCCTTTCTGAGAACCATCAGTCCGAGGCCCTTTACTTTCCCTGCCCGAACAAAGAAGCAGCCACATTGTACCGAAACCCCAGAGGGAGGGGGTCCGGTCAGGGGTGGGAGTGGGGGGCACCTCAAAACCCACAGGAAAGCCCAATTATCATTAATTTAACCAGAGCCGCAGGCCACGCCAGCTTCCTCCGAGTCACCGAGGCGCACCAGGCGCCCCACGCAAAGTAGGCCACTGACTGCCCATCGTGGATCGGGAAGCAAAACACTCTAGCCAGTTCTGGCCCAGAGATGTCCCCAGTTCTGGCAAATACGGGTTACAGCCCGGAGTGAAGGAGCAAGGCGGAGGACGCACTGACCCAGCGGTCTGGAGAGCGCAGTGCGGACCAACTTGTCAAGCAAAGCCTACGCGGAGCTGCGGGCTCGGGCGCAGCGGGAGCGGCGCACCAGGGGCTAGGGAGCTGAGCGGGCGACGCCGCGAGGAAGCCAGGGGTCCACTGCCGCGGGAAGGGGCCCGGCTGGGGGAGGCCGGCAGGCAG